AATGAACATAAGAAATCATTGTTGAAATTTCCTCATTTTTTCTCAAGCATAGTTATTTATTTATTTATTTATTTTGCAGAATGGCCGGGATACAAAGGTGGAGAAGTAGAGGAAGCAGTTGAGGGAAAGGAAGAACAGGACCAAGAAGATCTGTGGTGTAAAGAAGGTAAGGGAATTCACCATTCTTGGGGCACGCTGGTCAAATTTAGCCAAGTCTTCGTGTACTCTCTTTCTATCTGTATTTTCTTCTTTTTCTTATTCCATGGACATCTGCATTCAATGCTACTGTTTTACACAATGTGCAGACCAAGGCTGGAATGCTGCAAAGGCTGGAAAGAAGAAATGAGTTCTGCAGCAAATTTCTTCTTGCATTTATCTGGGGTTTTTTTTTATTTTTATTTTTTTATTTTTTTGGGGTTCTTTTCTCAATTTGCTAACGAAGCCTGAACTTTTGTACTCTCCTAATCAATTTTAGTAACTTGAAGAATTTTTGAATTACTCATGTCAGAGTCCAGCATAATTCCCTGTATTAAGATGACAAGAGTCATTCATATGGTCCCATATGGGGAAATACTTGTCTCTTGTTTAGATTGGAATTGTTGAAGTCTTTTGAGCCGGTCAGTCTTGAATTTTATTAATTTTTCCATATTTTGAGGATGTCTAAAAAAATACTTGCTTGATTGATGAGTCTAGCTAACGTGGGTTGGGCTAAAATAATCCATTAAAAGATAAAATATATTAAAATAATTCAATTTTTCTTTTTTATTTTTCATTAAGATTGTAAGATGTCAATTTGTTAGTAAAGTTAAAAGGGGTCGTCGCTATTCAATCAACTCGAATTTATGACATTCCTCTCACCACATCTTAAGGTGTGACTACAATATCACTAGGCCAAACTCAAGGTCAAAACCGGAAATTTGTTTTTACTAAGAATTATTCAGCTCTCTTGAAATAAGTTTAAATGGTACTTAAAATGAGTAGTTTGGTCTAAAATCATTGAATTTACTATTTATTTGTTAGAGTTAGTAAATAGAAAGAAATATTACTCTAAGAACATTGAATAATATATCCATCTGTTGCTATACCTTCTTGTGAAAAATGTTTTCAAAATGTTTTTTTTTATTTGTGGATTAGGTGTCACATCTTTAAGATCAACTTAGATTATTTTTGTCACCCAATTATGTTTGAGTCAGATTTCCTCTCTTAAAAAAATATTCACTTGTTTTTGAAAAATAATTCTTCGTTATCTCATTTCACCACAATCGCCACTCTCTCCAGCCACCTCCTAATCAAACATGGTTTGTTTGTTTTGAAAAAATGCACAGAACACGTTTTTTTGTTACAAGGAAAAATATCCTATTTTCTGTACGAAATCATATCAAAGCTGATATCTAATGGGATTTAGCACAATCTAAACATTTATGATTGTAATCTCATGCATTAACTGCAATATCTCACTCGCGGCAGTTTTCATTTATTGCACATTTACTTCAAAATAAAGCACAATAATTCATCAATAAATTTATTGCTAACTAAAGAAAATCAAAATAAAATAAGTTTAAAAATAAGAAAATATGTGTGCTCCATGATGCGAGGTGGCATGGTATAGTTGGTTATTGATGTTTGTTTGAACTATGAGGATTGGTTCGCACCTTGGATTAGACGTGTTAAAATTGTTTTAGTTACTCTCGCTGTAAACGAATTGAATTGTTTGCTGGGTTGATTAGTTTTCAGAGTTAGGTTGGTTGAAATTATTAGTGAGGAGATTATTAGTATGAAAATTATTAGTGAGAAGATTAAGAAAAATTATGTATATTTGTGATATATTTTAGTGAGGATATTAACTATATGAAATACCATAATACTCTTTAGTGTTTTTGATATATTTTAATATTAAAAAAACATTTTTTTATAAATATTTTGAAAAATGCTTGGGAGCACTTAGTGCTCCCACTAATTAGGTGGCAGTGGGTCCCGCCATTAATGATGTGATGTTTTGGTCTTGGAGTTGTATTTTTTTTTATTTTTTTTATATGAAATACCATAATACTCTTTAGTGTTTTTGATATATTTTAATATTAAAAAAACATTTTTTTATAAATATTTTTTGGTACTATATTATTTTAATATATATAATGACATAATACCAAAAAAAAAAAAAACACACAAATGCACAAGGGTCAAGCTTGTCTCCGGTGTGGACTAGGCCCACCACAGGTTCTGTTTCAATAATCTAAACCGTTTAATGTGTAGATCTCAACGAGTACTTTATCTTTGTAAAAAATCACATCGATCGAATATCTATAGCTACTTGATCGGATCAAATTTTTGTCAATAATTTATTTTGAAAATTATATTTACCGTTGACAGAAATATAATTCGATCAAGTAGTTATCAATATCTTATTAACATTATTTTTTTAGAAAGAGAACGTATTCGACAATTTCTATATATTGAACAGTTTAGATTATCGAAATAAGACCCATGGTGGGCTTTCATAGGCCCAATATTATGCTCTAGTCTGATCTCAAACTAGATAGAAACCTAACCCAATAAACAACACCCAACATGGGCAAAATAATTTTTTCCAAAACTAATCCCCTCACTAGTTTAAAAACCCAACTCTTGGAGGCCTTTACTAATCCCCTCCTCCAAAGCCTATCATAGTCTTAAGGAATTATGAATCTCTTTCCTTATTTTGCAAACAAACACCATTATAGTGGGTTTCATATCTATCACAATCCCATCCCCTCTTCAACCACCAAAAACAAGCGGTTCCATATATTTAGGTATAATTTAATGATGGAAAATTATAAAATATAGTCATGATGATAGGAAAAAAGATAAGATGATTATTTAGAAAATTTTAGAGCATGACATCAGCAATTTAGGGTACAATTTATAATTAGATTACAAACTCTAAAGAAGAGAATATAAACCTTAGAAGGTGTCAGTGTAATTTATCAATTTTGTATTTAGGCCTCCTTTGACCGTTAATTTGTTGGTTAAACAATTAAAAAGTAAAAAATTAAAAATTAAAAATTAAAACTTCACATTACACATATCAATCAATTATTTTTATTTTTATAATTAACTACATTAAAAAAAGCATTTAAAACATATTAAATTTTTCCATTTTTTTTATAAAAAAAATAAAAATAAAAACAAAAACTACTAAACAAATCAAGTTTAAGTTCATATAGGTATGGGAGTTGAATTGATTTCTTTTCAATTCAAAATTTGAGAATTTAGATGGGGCCAGTGAGAGAGAGAGAGACACACACAATGGAGGGAAATTAGTAATTATTCTTTTCGGTTTCAGTTTTAGAATTTACTTTTTAAAAAAAATTATTTTTTCATTTTTTTTGTTTTTATTGAAATTTTTTAATATTTTAAGTAATTTCTTTAAAATTTTTTAGGTACACTTAACGCAAATACATTTAAAAAATATAATATTTGTGATTTTTTTTAAAAAAATATGTATTTATTAAAATTTTAAAGTATTTTTTTACAAATATTTTACTATTTAGATGTGCATTTAAACAAGCAAAAAAATGAAAAAATTAGTCTAAGGTCCCTCTCCCATTTTTAGTAATGGAAAACATTTACAATATTATTTTTTTATGTCTAAGGTCCCTCCCATCTATCACAGAGAAATTCAACCCAGTTGATTGTCTACATAGAACCCCTCCATCGCGTCCAGAACCATCGCCGTGGCGTCCGGAGCTCCCCGCAAGGCATCCGGCAACTCAACCCTAATCAAATTCCGCACTTTGGGCCGCTCGATCATGTACTTCCTTAGTCCCAACCCGTCCATGTTCTCACAGAACGATTTCAACTCCGGTGATGGATATGGCTGCCGCAGTCAAAGCTTCCGCCGACGCAGCTTCCACTGACAAGTCGGTGAGTGCAGCGTCGCGCAATGCCTGGGCTGAAGTCGGGAAAACTTTGTAGAAGCGAACTTACAGTCATTAGTTCTTCTATATCAAGCATTCTAGCATTATTGACCAACATTTCACCATATTCTCCAATGCACAAAACTGCCACTCGGACAAGACCTTCCTGATGAAAACATCAAAAATCATTTTTCACTAATTACTCAAGATGATAGAACTTCCATGCCAAATCTTATCCTAAGAAAGAAAAATAAGCGAAGTACCTGTTCACCTGATGTTTGGACTACTCTATACAGAAATCGTACTGTATATCCATGGAGGTTCGAAGCATTGTTTATCACAACAATAAGGGTATGCTATACTTCATCCTTTACAAAATTTCCTGCCTACTAATAATAGTGTCAGGATCAAAATTTTACCAAATGTGCCATTATCTACATCAAAGATACCAAATGTGCCATTATCTACATCAAAGAAAGCTAAAAGAAATATTTAAAAGACAAAATAAAACACAGACAGAGAATCCAGAGAAATTCAAAATTTATCTGGAGAGAAATTCGAAAGTGCTGAGAAAATTGTTCAAAACACAGGTTGAATTTTCTCTGGAGAGAAATTCTCTGATCGAATTTTCTCTGGATCGAATTTTCTCTGAATTAATGTTGAGGGACTTTAGACATTATAAAAATATTGAGTGTCCTTTATGCTATAAAATCATAATACCAGGGACCTTAAAAAAAAAATCCCTAAAAAAATTACTTAAAATTTAAAAAATATTCACTAAAAACAAAAAAAATACTAAAAATAAAAAAACTCAATTTCTAAAAACTGAATTCAGAAATTTAAAACCAAACACACTAAATAAAATTTTCAAAATTACAAAGGAATAACAGCACAATGGTGACAGAAAAACAAAATTACAAATCAATAATAAAATTTATATATATTTTAATAATTAAAATATTATATTTTTTCATGATTTTATATAATATTATATTTTTTCATGATTTTATATATATATATATATATTTTCTGTACCATTGTACAGATATTTCCCTGAAGTACAATTCCATACCATACCCTTCCCCTATACTAGCACTACCCAAAAAAACAGAGACAAATACGATGGGCTGGGCATACAACACAACAGACGACACAAAAAGAGACAAAAGCAAACTCTCAACAAACCTCTCTCTATCTAAACCCTCTCGTCTCTGATTCCAATCCTCTCTTTCTTCTTCGTTTTCCTTCGGACTCCATTGACATTGCTTCGATTTCACGACATACGCTCACAGCTCTCGCGCAACTATACACAGGACTACTGATTTAGGTTTCTCTGTGGCTCTGGTAAGTAACAATTCTCTCCGATTTGCGTTCTACTATTTTTTTTTTAATTGAAATTGAAATTTTATAATTTCTTTTTCAATTTGTATATTGTTGTGATTTTAGCTTATTTTATTGGGTTTTCAGTGGTTTCTGAGCTCGTCAACTCGAGTATTTTGGTTTTGCGGATGATGTGCGTCTCTCTGAAGTTTAATGGTCCTATTTTGGTGCTTTTTTTTTTAACCTGACTTGTAAAATTAGGGTTTGTGCGAGTGATTGGATGAGATTGGAGAGGGGTTGATATCTAGTGATAAGGCTGCGAAGCTTGACATGAGGGAGGGGTTGAGATCTAGTGATGTGGGTGTGAAGCTAGAAAATGATCAAGTGGACGTGGAAAATAATGTCGATTCAGGTCCAATGGAGGGTGTTGGAGTCATAGACAATGTTGATGATGAGAAGAAAGGGACAGATTTAGTTTCAGATGATGTGGATTTTGTTAAAGATTCATTGGTTTCTTTTACAGACGGAAAAATTGAGGGTCAGTCTGAACATATGGAATGTGAAAATGCTGTTGGTGTCAATGTCGGTGTTAATTCTGATACACCAAGGCCAAAAGCTGGGAGAGGGCGGCCGAGGAAGAAAAGAAAAATGGTGGAGGATGGTTATAATAATGAGAAAGATAAAGTTGATTTGGCTCTGAAGAAGGGCGATGAAACCACCAACACCAGTGATAACGAGCAACAAGGACAGGTTCCAGTTTCGTCCGCTCCAGAGTCCGTTGAAAAATCATTGGCTTATTCCCTACAGCGAAAAACGGAAGACCACAGAAATGGGCCTGAGGACTCTGAACATGTCGAATGCAATGAAGCTGCCAATGTTAATGGTCATGGTGAAACCCACACAGGTAGGCCTAAGATTGGGAGAGGTCGAAGGGGGAGGAAAAGAAAAATTGTGGAGAGTTCTGTGGCCAATGGGGATGATGCTGCACAGAAAAAGGAGGTTAATAAGATGTCTTTGGATGGTAAGGATGAGTTTATTGGTCGGATATTGAGGTCAAGGACAATGGCGATGAGTGGTGGTGACAAGGTGGTTGATGATTCACTGACGGGAGGTGTTGTAGGTGATAAAAGGAAGAAGGAAAGTGATGATTCAAACCAAAAAATCATTGAAATTGACAAAAATAAAAGTGCTCCGTTAATTGGCAGGCGAAAGAAAAAGATAAAAGGGCGTCGAGGGAGACCCCCCAAGGTGCAGGGGGGATGTGACGATTCAAACAAAAGAATCATTGAAATTGAAACAGACAAAAGTGCCCCATTAATTGGCAGGAGAAAGAAAAAAGTAAAAGGGCGTCGAGGGAGGCCCCCCAAGGTGCAGGGGGAAAGTGGGCTGTTTAAGGTTATTGGTTGTGACAACCAGAAGGAAACAGGGTCCAGGAAAAACAGTGATCAACCAAAGGCCAAAGAAGTCATTAGGGGTTCCAAGTTTGTAGACAGCAGAAAGCACAGCAGACTTGCCAGTCGGTTGTGTCATTCTGGTGAGAAAATCATTGTAAAAAATTTGAGAAGGAATAAGCACAAGGAAGGGGGAGAACTGGGGACGGGAAGAGCAACAGAAAAGAAGTTACTGAGAGAGCGAATAATGGCTATGCTTAAGAGTGCTGGCTGGACAATTGAATACAGGCCCAGGTTGAGCAAGGAGTACAATGATGCTGTGTATGTCAGTCCAGAAGGACATGGTTATTGGTCAGTCACAAAGGCTTACAGAATTCTTGAACAAGAAGTTGAAAATGGTGATGCTGATATCAGGGCTGTTTCTTCATTTTCTCCAATACCAGAGGAGGAATTCAGCAAACTATTCAGGGTAACGAAGAAAAGGAAATGGATGTTAGAAAAGAAATTGAAGGGTGAAAATAAGAAAAATGAAGGAATCACTCAAAAGAAGTTGAAGAAGAAGCATGCTACAGACAAAATAGGTGTCTCAAGGTACAAGCATAAAGAAACACTGGGTGCCAAGTCATGGAACAGAAGGATAAAACGGAAATCATCAGATTGTGAACAAGGTGATTCAGCTAATAAATTGCCGAGGGGAGTGCGGATACCAAATCGGGGGGAGAGGAAAAATAGAAAGAGATGTGCTTTGTTGGTTCGTGACTCAAAGAAGGGGTTGAATCCTGATAGCAAAGGCTTTGTACTGTATGGTGGGAAACGCAGCCTTCTTTCCTGGATGATTGATTTGGGAACTGTTCCGCTCAGTGGGAAGGTTCAATATATGAACCATAGTAGTGGAGAATTGATTGATGGCAGGATAACTAGAGATGGCATTCAATGTGGCTGCTGCAATGAAACCCTCAATGTTTCAGATTTTGAGTATCATGCTGGAAGTAAACTCAGTCAGCCATTTCAAAATATATATTTAGAGTCTGGAAGTTCCCTTTTGCAGTGCCTACTAGACTCATGGAGTAAACATGAGGGGTCTGAACCTATTAAATTCCATTCGGTTGATGTTGATGGTGATGATCCAAATGATGATACTTGCAACATGTGCGGAGATGGTGGGGACTTGATCTGTTGTGATAGTTGTCCATCAACTTTCCATCAAAGTTGCTTAAATATCCAAGTATGATTGCAATGCCCCTTCTTTATATTGTTATGCAAACATTTTAGATGCATCTTTGTGATTCTTCATTCATGGAATATCTAGAGGTTGTATATCTGTGCCTTGTCATTCAGTAGCACATTTAGGGCTTGTTTATTTCTGGTGCACAATTAAATAGTTGGATCTTCCTGTCAAGTCTATGCCAGTAGGTATTCTTGAATTGCAATGGTTCAGTACAGTTGACAAACACAGCACCCTAACAGTATTATAAATTACCAGTTCGTCCCTTCAGTTAAAAGGTTTTTTACCAAAAAAACCTAGTTGTCGTCCCAAAACTTTTGGTACTTCCACACTGGCACTATATATATATTGAATAAGGGACTTAAATATTGTAAATATTTTTTATACCACATATTGTCATGGCTGTCTTTTAAATATGTGATGCCTAAAATATGTTTAAATGTGGTTTGGGTGAATGTAAATTAAAACATGTTTATATGTGGTTTGGGTGAATTTAAATTGAATGCAAGTTAAGATGTCTAATTTGTGTATATATTTCGATGAATGTTGTTATTATTATTATTATTATTTTGTGCCTAATATGCAATCTATGTGGAGGATGTACTCAATAGTTTTTCTTTTTTTTTTATTTTGGTACATAGGCGGGCCCAAGCCCCAAAAAACTAAAGTCTAACCATTCGAGGGAGGTCCTAGCCCTCAATCCGTTTGCAACCTTGGCTGAACGGAAGTTGGTGGTGGGATTCCCTGAATATTAGCACATCCATTAGCCTCTCACCATGAGTGGCTGATGCAACAAGACCAACACTTAAGTTAAAGCTCCCTACATGGAGAATGATTCCAATTATGAATTGAAGGCACAAGCAGTGTAAATCGGATTGCGAGTTTGTGGTTTTTCCGCCCCTTGTGGTGGTACATTTGTAGTTTATGTTATGAAAATCTATGCTTTTACTATCATTTTTTCATGTTATCTTTACTACTAGCAAAATAACTAGAACATTACTTTCAATTTTACTTTCCAATGTACATATTTTGGAAAGAAAAACTAACTTTGTTTAGATAAGATCACTAAATTCTCTTGGATCAAGTGCAAAGTGGGAACTTTGCTGAGAGCCTGTGACCTTTGATGATGCATGCCTATATTTCAAGGACCAGCTTGTCCTTGCATGTATAACATATATATGCTATTTTGTGGTAAGAAATGAACCCCTAACCCATCCCATCCTTTAAATGAGATGCTAATTTGACCTTATTAAATAAGAAATACAAACAAATTTCTTGATATCAGATTATTGAATCCAAGTTCTCATGTACCATGTGACTTTTTGATGTATCTCTGCTGAGCCAAAAGCAGGAAAGCTTGGGAGGAAAGGCAGGCCAGCAGAAGTAGTTCTTGGCTTGGCATACACCTTATCTATTCTGTGTCCTTGATCTGTCTGACTTATGAAAATGGATGGGCAATCATTGAAGTATGGATACCCAAATCAAAGGCTTTGGGCATCTAAATCAAATTAGTCATGTAAATCTATGTTTTGGAAATGCATGTTGAGTTTCAGCTATATAATGTTATCACAATATTTTTACCAATAGAGATATCTCTTTAGCTGTGCGATTGAGATATTTAGAAATCTGTTGGTTTATATATATATATATATATTTTTAAGTAATGGGGATAATCATTCTTTTCTTTGCATTGCAGAAGTTCCCTTCTGGTGACTGGCATTGTATGTATTGTTCTTGCAAATTTTGTGGGGTGGTTGATGGGAATTCATGTCAAAGGGACCAGAATAGTGATATACCTGGTTCTGCATTGCTCACATGCCATTTGTGTGAGGAAAAATGTATTTACTTATCCTAGAGCTGCAAATTTTTTGGATTGTGCTTAGCCTTTTACTTCTCTATTTTATTACATACTATGGGTAGTTCTGGCTTAGAGAGCAATAACTTTTGCCTTTTGTAGATCACCAACTATGTGTTCAAGAGAAGGATGCTGCACACGTCGATTCCGATTGTTTGTCCTTTTGTGGGAAGAAATGCGAAGAGGTACAAGACCAGTGTTGATTTCGTTCTGCACCTTAAATGCTTGATTTGAATTTATTTAGTAGTTTTAGTTGTTAAATTGTGGTATTCATTAATTTTTTTTAGGTCTTCCCTTAAGTCTGTTCTCTAATGTTTCATGCATGAATAGCATAGTAGTTGTAATTGTTATTAGTAATTAAACATGTACTAGTTGTTTCCTGATATTCACGTTGGCTAGAAATCTTGACAGCATATTATTACTGTGTAGTAAGGTTTGGTTTGATGGTAACAAGGTGATTAGATGAAATTACATCATTATGAATATGAAAAATTAAGGTTTTCTGTTGGGTATTGCAGTGCCAATAACAGGTGATTATTGAAGAGGTGGCATCATTAGATCAATTTGTCAAACCCCCTCTTAATTGGCATTTGTTATTTAAATTTACTGTACACTTATTTAGATGGCCTTTTTTTATTTCCCAAACTACCTCTTAGTTTTTCCTATGTATATATCAATATACAGGGGCAAATTCATTCAAAGTAAAGATATATTTTCTTCCTCCCCCAATTCAACATTATTAATTGAAGGATTTTCTTGATGCAGTTGTTTGGAATAACCCAGGTTGGTTGCAAGTGAATCTAACTTGATAATTGATCTTTGAAGAAGAGATCACTAAATAAGTATTTACATAATATAGAAAAATTTGATTGTGGCAATAGTTTTTGCTATACTTTTTGTGTGTTGAACATGCTTCTTGGGCTGAAATAGAGTTTACAGTTATTTGGGGTTTTGATTTCACCCGATATTGACCACCTCATTCATCCGGTCAGTGGCATTTGTTTTTTTAATGTACTACATCCTTCTAATTTCATTGGGAATTTAGTTTTGTGACAATTTAATTATATCACAATGTTTATCACACTTTTTGTTTTGTAGGTAGCTTATCCCCAGTAGTTGGATTTAAGCTTTATTCTCGTGTTTTTCTATGTACAGGATTACTGATTGGTTGTTATACTTGTTCAACAGGTCTTTAAGCGACTACAGGTGCTTCTTGGGGTTAAACATCAACTGGAAGAAGGATTTTCATGGACTCTAATTCAGCGTTCTGATGTTAGCCAATATAAATCTCTTAGTAGTGTTTCTCAAGAAGTTGAATGCAACTCCAAGTTGGCTGTTGCATTGTCTATTATGGAGGAGTGTTTCTTGCCAATTGTTGACCAGAGAAGTGGGATCAATATGATTCGTAATGTTGTCTATAGCTGTGGGTAAGCGTTCCTTAATTATGATTTGAGTTGCATTTTTGTTTTTGTTATTTCTGAATTTTTGGTTGTAAGCTTTGAATTGATTAAATGAGCTTGTTTGCTATTGATATATGTTTGTATTTAAAAAAAAGAAGGTGGTTGCTTTTGTGACCTGAAACTTCTGCAAATGCAAGGAATGCCTAACTCAATAGTATACTTTCAAGTGAAATACAAGCATACTTATGCTTGTAGATTCTTTGATGTCGACATTTCTCTAGCCGTAGACATTGAAAGAAAAGAATGCTTCTCAAGTTGTTTATAATACAAGACAATTTTTTTTAGTGCAAACTGCATATTGCAAATATTTTGTCCTTGAACAATCTCTTCTTGTGCTTCCTGCATGTGCAAGTTTCCCAAGAGGTCAAAGTGCATCCTACTAAAATTTATCACAAAACAATATCTTGTGCATATGGCTTCACATATGTCCTAATATTTTGCTCTCAACTGATCCAATTTTCACCCTAGAAAAGAAATGATGATGTGTTTACTTTGAAATGAGCACTGGTGCGTGGATGAACTTTTTTAATCATCCATTGTGGTTATATTTAAATGTAGTTAGATAAGAAGTTCTATTTAACGTATTTTTCTCACCAGGGATTGTTTTGTGAAAATTGCCTACTTTAATGTCATGTGTAATTAAGATGTTGATCTGATAAGTAAAATGGGGTTATGTATCCTATGAAACCTTTATAAATAAAGTTACATTTGTTGACAAAACAGAAGGATTTTTTAAAGCAATGCAAGATTGCTAGTTAGGTTGGGAGTTTGGCCTTCAACCCATAAACCTTCTCACTATGTAGACAGTGATGATTTTCTAGCATATTTTTTTTAATTTGCACTGGGGTGTCTGGATCAAAGCCCGACTAATCCCTAGGGGTGCATAGGCCCTCGGCAAGGAGTTTCCCGCAAGTGCACCACGATTAATTCAAGGGGTTTTTTTCCAGTCTGATGGCCCTAAGGAATTGTTAGCACCTAAGAAGTTTTGATCCCTGAACTTGGAGGGAGCACACTAAGGCCTTGCCACTTGGCCAACCCCTTGGGGTTATTTTGTAGCATATTTTACAAGCTGTTTTCGGAGTTCTGAATTCATTTGTCATGTCTGCTACTAATCAATTTTGCTGACTATTCTGCTATGCTTAAAGTTTTCTTGTTATACTGTTATTATGAGCGCATTTTTTTATTTTTTTGGTTGTGGCTTGTCAGTTCATGGTGTGCTGTATGATTTTCAAGGTTTACCTTATCTTGTGTTTCTCTTTGTTTATCAATCTGTGTTTAGCTTTTGTCGTTATGGTGAACTATTTTACATCTCTATGATTGCTGTCATATAATTTTAAAAACTAATACTAAGTATGTTCTTGTCTGTTTCTAAAAATTATTGCCAGGTCAAATTTTAATCGGCTGAACTACAGTGGATTCTTCACTGCTATTCTAGAGAGGGGTGATGAAATTATCTCAGCAGCATCCATAAGGTTCTTTTCTGCCTTCATTGCAATCAATTTTGTTGCCATTAGAATATCAATGCATAATTATTGTTCAAATGAAAGAATTATGGGGATGGTATATTAATAATTTGTTGACTCTGATTCCAATTGTTTATGAACCTAAAAGGCTAAAAGGTAAAATTGAAGCGAGTCTGACTTCTGTGGCCATCATCATAGGACTAAAGTTGGTCACTGTCTACGGGGCAAGAAGGTTTATGGGCCATTATCTTTTTTTCATGCTTTTACATTCATTGGCCCACTATTCTTCATCAAGGGCAACCATGGACATCAATAATATAGGGGTGCAGTTTGGGTAGGTTAGGAGTCTATCTACGCCTGGCCTGAACCTTTGCAAAGTCTTTCCCAAGCCTGGGCTGAAGTCTGAGGCCTTGCCCGAGCTCACCTTGAAGAACTGGGATTCTGTTCGGGTTGCCCAAAGTCTCCTTCCCTTGCCCTCTTCTCGTTCTGTAACTTCAAACAAACTCCTTGTATCTCCCTCTCTCTTGAAATCAAACTACTCCCATGTTAAATATATGGTCCATGAACCTATAAAAAGAACTAAAGCCATATCATAAATTCAGAACACTTTCACATTATCCCAAACTGTTTTTGTAGTGATCATGGGGTTTGTGACCATCGACAACTGATACAGTAACTGCTTAGGGTTCTTATCCTCTCTCTAATGAATCGCACAATTTCACAATCGATTCACGATTCAATTCACTTTTTACGATTCATTTAATTTTTTAAATTATTGTGTCCGACATATTTTCAACTATTTATTTCTCCATATTTTTAGTGAAAATGACATAATACAACGTCTAATAGCGTTTAATACCAAAATAACCAACAAATATACATAATTTGTTATTATTTTAGAGATCATGAAGTTTTCAATAAAATCCAATCAGATTCAGTCAGACCCAACATATTTTTAACATTTCTTCTCATTTTTTTTTCCTTTAAAAAATCATAATATATCTTGTAAACATATTTAAGATTAAAGTTACACTATGAATTATCTATTGCTATTTTATTAAATTGAATATAATTGAATATTACATATGTGAAGTCAGTTATGCCTTTGAAAATGTTTTAGGCTTTACAATAAAATATTCTAAATAATTCTTTCTTATTATTTGTTCACTATTACTTAGAAAAGTATGTATGCTTATTGTCCAAATATCAATATCATTGTTAATTATTGTTATTTTGGAAATTGATAATTTGTTTATTTGGTTATTATCTTTATTAAGAATGGTTGATAAGAAATATCTAAAAAGAAAAAAAGTATGATAGTGATCTTACATAAGAATTTTGTTAACTTCTTACCTATTAAAATACGTGATTATCATTCAAAATAACATTTTCATTGATTTAAGTCTAAATATTTCATATTCATAAGATATATTTAACATCTAAATGTGTAAATATATATTTTTAAGTAATTTTAAAAAAGTGACCGAATCTTTACGATTCACGATTCGATTCGATTCACGATTCGGTACAAGGTCATTTCGATTCACAATACGAATCTCGATTTGACAACTATGGTTAGGAGTCTATCTACGCCTGGCCTGAACCTTTGCAAAGTCTTCCCCAAGCCTGGGCTGAAGTCTGAGGCCTTGCCCGAGCTCACCTTGAAGAACTGGGATTCTGTTCGGGTTGCCCAAAGTCTCCTCCCCTTGCCCTCTTCTCGTTCTGTAACTTCAAACAAACTCCTTGTATCTCCCTCTCTCTTGAAATCAAACTTCTCCCATGTTAAATATATGGTCCATGAACCTATAAAAAGAACTAAAGCCATATCATAAATTCAGAACACTTTCACATTATCCCAAACTGTTTTTGTAGTGATCATGGGGTTTGTGACCATCGACAACTGATACAGTAACTGCTTAGGGTTCTTATCCTCAAGCAAGAAAGTTGAGATCCCAAGTGGAGGCTACATATCGAAGAAGTTACAGCTGTATCTTAACAACAATCCTAAAAAGTAAGGTGTTTCATAGAGAACATATAAACGTTAATAATTTATATGTGCTGCGTACATGTATATGTTCATGAAAAAATCAGGTTTGGCTTGTTTGGGTTGTTTGAGCTGTCTGCACAGCCAGAATGAATTTCGGCTTACCATTTTTTGCCCAAGCCTAATCCTAATGCTCAAGAAACTTGTCCAGGCCTGAATAAAGATCATGTTGAGCTCTGCTTTCTTGGCTTCAACCTGCCTGAGTTGCACTCCTGCTATAATAATCAACTGCCACACTGTTTTTAGTGACTTTTGTTTCTGGGCATGAGATACTTTTGTCCAATGTGATCTGTCGAGAATGTTAACTTTACCTGCATAGTTAAGATGCTGGCATTTTGCTTACATACTTATTCAGGAAAAGGATTCTGTGCATAATATATATGTGAATTGCCATATAATAGATTAATTTGGCATTGTTTGGGACATATATATTCACATATTAATGTCCAGATTGAAGGGCTTCATGTTAGCATCCCACATATCCTTTTTACAGTTATAAAGCCCTGTAGTTTGAAGCATTTTGTATAGAAGAATAAAGAGAATGATAGGGAGGCTGCACAGTTGGCGTCTTTGTTGTCCAAAATTGATAATTTCTCCTTGGCTCCTCTTTTGGAGGACAAGAGGGTTTGGGCTCTTCATTCATCTGGAATATTTTCTTGTAAGTCATTTTTTGATAAACTCATCGATAGTCCTCTTGTTTCTCAATTTCTTTTTTGCAAAAGAATTTGGAAGGCTTGTGCTCTTCTTAAGGTGAAGGTATTTATGTGGGCTTTGGTTCATGGAGGCATTTTGACAAATGATATTTTGCAGAAACGGAGACCTAATCGATTTCTAAATTCTCAATGGTGCATTATGTGTTGTAAGAATGGAGAATCCGTGGATCATTTATTTTTGCATTGCCCAATTGCTTTGACTGTATGGCACAAATTGTTTTTGTTGGGGGATATTATGTGGGTAGCCCTGCAAAGGAGTGCACATATGCTTCAAGTTGACTTTCGCGCTTTCGGAGGATCGAAGAGAGCCAAAATTTTATGGTCTAGCACGGTCTTTGCAACTTTTTGGGTTCTATGGCTCGAAAGAAATGCGAGGATGTTTGAAGATAAGTCCTGAGAGATAGATTGTTTACGGGATAGTGTGTGTCGTTTAACTTCTTTTTGGGTTTCGGGGGATCCTCTTTTTAAGGGGGTCCCACTTTTTTTGTTAGCTAGAGATTGGTTGGCGGTGTGTGATATGTAACAGTTTGCTTTAAGAGTTTTTTGTTAGGCATTAGTTTTGTGATTTTCCCTTTTCCTTTGTAAGAGGATGCCTTATCCTCGCTTTCTTTTTTTGATTTGTCAATAAAGTGCTTTGTTGTTGATAAAAAAAAAAAAAAAAAAAAAGAAAAAAGAGAAAGATCTTAAGCAACATCTGAGGATTATTTTAAGGTCTCTATAAGCAGACTACACTTGTGAATCAACAATTTTAGAATTTTTTTGAATTTACGGATTATTTCTTGGAAAATTATTATTACATGAAACATATAGCTACCTTCATTTGTGCTGGCAGCAGTCCTGAGATTTTGGATCATATCTTAGGTGTTTTTGTAAGAATTTTATTGATTTTCTCCCAACTACAGTTTCTGACTTTATCATGAATATTCCTTGTGCATTATTGTGGTGTATTGCAGTGTATCAGCCAATACCATGTTGTATCATTGATACTGATTGTACAAGAGCTTGTTGGTACTGAGGTTGGCACAGTAACTTAAACCATGTGCATGCTGTGCAGTTGGAGAAAATGGGGATATTGAAATAGTTTTACTCTTTGTTTTTCTTTTTTCCCTTCTTCTTTTTCCCCTCCAGTTCAGTAAATTTGTGTTGCATGGCAGCATTAAATAAATAATTTTGTAGTATGGCAATCTCTTCGTACTTTTACCTGTTCCTCCCCTTGGAAAGATGGCTAGAGCAATTGGAGAAGTTGAAGCTCCAACTATTCAAAAAAGATTCTGCATGTATTGTCATGGCAGCAATTTCTGATGTAAATGTTGTGGATTTGTAATTAAAGTTTGAAAAGTTCAACCTTTTTTTGGGATGACATAAAAAATCGCACACATCTCTTTGCATACTTCCCCGTATAATTTTCCTGGAGTATTGCCTGAATAATCAGGTTTGGTTTTAACTTGTATAAGCTCATAAGTAATTGAATATCCCGAGGGAATTCTGAAAATAGCATTGGCATGTTTGGTGCAATTTTAGCTTAAGTTTTAATCCATCCTTTTTGAATCAGCCATTTCTCTAATTGTTTATTACAACTGGTAATTGTATCACCCAATGCCTATGTTCTATTTTCTTTCTATGTAATTTTTGCAATCACATTAAATGCATTCTCTTTCCTTGGTTGGTCCGCCTAAGAATGAGTAGTTGCGAGCTTTAATTGAAGTAGGGGCGGAGCTCTTCATAGAGCGTTAGAAAGCGTCAGTTCTCATAGCGAGGCTTAGGCCGACGAGGCTAGGGCGCGGCCCCCCAATTCTCAACCCCGACCTACACAAGTGGTTTTAGAACCCACATTTTGAAAAGTTCTGTTAGGTTCTTAGTAGCAATCGGCGACCTTTTCTTCTTTTACTTCACATAGCTTTTCGTCTCCTTGATAGCTGGAAGTTCTCCAAAAGTATGAAAAGCTGGAGGACTTTGTACCATCCATTCCGATGTGGTTGGATTCTGTTCAACAGCCCAAGGACTTGGAGCACATCTTTTGTTGTTTCCACTGCTTGAAGTGATTGTTACGACCACGAAGAAACGACAAATCCCAACTACGCCATTCCTGGCTCGGCTCCGAGAATGCAATTTTGGGAGGAGTCTGTAGTTGGGCATTGGATCCCTTCGGACCTGGAGAACATGTGACGCTGGGTCGGGGTTTGGTGAACCAACTGGTCGCTCCTCTATTTGAAGCATCGGGCCCATTTTTCGTTGCCTAGGTTACACCTTCGGAATACCCCAGAAGGGAATTTGGCTCTGCTTCACTGGTAATGGAGGTATCTTTAGTGATCATGAGGCAAAATGCTATCCATGATTTCTCCATGCCATGTGGGTATGGATAGGCAACTGCAGTTGAAGTTAGTGTGCTTTTGGAGGGCTTTACAATACCATGAGTTAAAAAATGTAGAGCTGCTATCATTTAGTGAGACTTCTGAAACAATATTTTGTTGGTGTATAAGGAATTAGGTTTTTGTTGTATAGAGAGATGTTGGACCTTGTTTGGAATAGTCACGTCACTTGTTTTTGGGTTCAAGTTTCGTGAGGGGGCATGTTGATGATATAAACAATAAAGTTGTACCCCTCTCTAATGACTTGAAGTTTTGGGGACAATTGGTGACTTAACTTGGTTCAGATCTCAGACTAGGAGATGTTTTAGGTTCAACTATTACTGCCCCCATGATCTTTGTGATTGTGAACTTTCTTTCACCTTCGTGCACGTTGTTTCTCTTTGTTTGTTTGTATCTGCACGTGCCAGATAGGGATAAGGGGGAGTGTTTGCTTGATATACATTATTGAGCCCATTTCCTAGAAAAAAAAAGAAAAAGAAGCAGCTTTTAGATGAGTAGGTAATTGACAATATAACAATTTTCATGTAACCTGTGGCATCTTATATGTAGGATGTTTGACAGATTTTTATATGCCATTGAATTGATTTCTCTCTAAGCATATTTGTTCCGATATGCTGCTGAATTTATTTTCGACATCGACCTGACACTCATTGGACATTTCCCACCACTTGGACACACATAAAACAAATTACAAGCTTGAATAAAATAACTTGGAAACCAATATAAAGGGGTTGTTTGGGATGACCTAAATAAGTACACTTTTTGTCTTTTTATGAAAAGATGTGCAGAAAAGTAGAGAGGTGATGTGATGGAAAAAAGATAAAAAGATAAAAAGATGGATTATTTTGGGGTTGCCAAACTTGGCCAAAACAAAACAATGTAAATTTATACATATTCGCCTTCTTTAAATTTTAATTATTATTTTTTTTATCTTAAACTTGAATATTCATGTACATGACATAAAATAATTAATTATAAATATATATAATATTATATATTTTGCACGTGTTCTCCATGTGTCATCCTACATTTCTTGAAAATTTCAGTGTCGGCGTGCTTGTGTCATATCCGTTTCCATGCTTATTAGTCCAAGGAAGTATGTAGTGTGGCTCTTGCGAGCATTTATTGAGACCTTAGCTGCACAAAGTGAGGTCAGGACGTATGTTACTTGGAACGTGGATTGTTCCGGTACGTGGAACAAAAATGGGAACATGGTACGCCACATGCTCTAAAATGTGATACGATAGGGATAGACTTGTATATATTATACTTAAGAATTTAAGTACTGCTATAGTAATATTTTTTAACTATTAGATATGCAATAAAATGTAATATTTTCTATGAGCATTATGATCTATTTCTTGATTTTTTTTGTCTTGTCAAAACTTAACTCACCTTAAATTTTAATTCATTATATTTGAATTTTTTCCTCCTAAGATAACATTTAAGGACATATTGAAAAAAAACTTTTGGGATCGTTTTGGATCGCTAAATTTACCGTTTCGGAACGAAAGTGTACCATGTTTCGGAATGTGCGTACTAATACTTAATTCGTTAGGGTATTAGCATTTTCTGGTAACATAAGTCAGGACCAAAGCAGGAACGAGAGTATATAGAAGTTTGTAAGGTTGGGAGCGCCTATTGAACGTGTATGTATTATATACTAAACGGTGTGCACACCCACATGGGTGTGCAGTTACATGATTCATACATTCCAGTGGTGTGTAGTTACAGAAAGGTAGGGTAGTTGCAATTATAGAATGGTAACTGCCCTTGGGGGTGTTTTCAGAAATTAAAATATAAAAAAAAAAAAGACGTGACAGCCACACCATTATCTTTTTTTAATGGTATAGGGATTAATGGTAACTGCTCTTGAGTGTTGGCTTTATTTAATGGTATAGGTATTAACTATATAAATATATTCTTACGAATATCTTTTTTGCGTAGTTGTAATATACGAGAGCGATATAGATGAAGAAAAGTGAGAGAGCGAAGCTTTTCCAATTATTCAATTTTTGTGATGGGCTTGCTCATCCCTTGAACTGCTTCAATTGGCATGATTTACTCCTCTACTGCAGGAACCTGGCTCCTTCAGAGCTCTGATGACTCCATTAATAACTTGATATGTATCTTTCATTTACTAGGCTGCAGACCCGTTCTGTAGAAACTTGAGCTTTTAAGGCAACTGGTGTTCAGCTGTACTTATTAGTTTTTGAGATATGTATGCATCTGAATTTAAAGAGCCTCAAAGTTTGATCTACCATGCTTATATTTCTCTAGTTGATCTTAACTTCTTAAGCAAGCCTTGAGATGATTGAATTGAGAACCAAGTTCTATTAACCTGATTTGTTTTATAGCCCTGGCCAAAAATTGTCAAACAAAACTAAAATTTACACTAGATAAAAATGGCAATGTCTCCTTTTTTTTGCTTTTTTGGGGTGATATATCATATGTTGGAAAGGCTTTATATTTCATTTGTGTTCAACATAAACTTGAGGTGTGTAAAATGGCAACCTAATATAATTGCCCCATCACACGGATATTGCTGCCACTAATAGGGTTGCACTTGGAAGTATCTCAAGTAATTAGTTCCTTTAATCATTCACTTAGATCCTTTTTAAATGCTTTATTCTTTTCCAAATGCTAAGAAAAATAACACTATAATTTGAAGGAAAAAAAAAAAAAAAAACTTAAGTTGGTTTTCTCAAAGTGTCAAAGCACACGATTAGATAACTGAGCAGGGGTTCTGCGCTACAGGAAGCTTCAGGTCTCTAGTTCTAATCCCTGGGCTTTGTCAATATCTGTTGCATGCTGTTGTTTTCAAGTATTTATTACTAGCACAGTCGTGGAGTGTACTCAAAATATTCTTTGTTACCCACAGCCCCCAAAAAAGTCGGTTGCCAAGTCTTTCAAAATTTGTCGATGTTAATTCTTGTATTATTCTTTCCTCATTTTAAGTGTATGGTATTAGCATCTTTTGTCATAATATAGTACTGTCAATATGTGATGTCTGTTTATGCACATTTTTTTACATGTAGCTTCTACACTTTTTTTTTTTGGATCAACATAGAACTTCATTGATAAATCCAAAAAAGGAAGCGAGGATGAGGCATCCTCTTACAAAAAGACAATTCTACACTTTCATGTAGAAGTGTTGTGTGTCACAACTTATTTTGACTACTGTGGTTACAATATAGTCCATGCCATTTGGCCTTATTTGGTGCAGCTTATTGTAGTTGCTTACAGATTTCATTGCTTATTTTTATTTTGAAATTTTGAAATTTGTACCAGAGTGTTTGGTATAACTTCTTATAACTTATGAGGTAGAAATATCTTAAATAATCCAATTATTTGTAAGCTAGGTAAGGTTGTTTTTAGCTTTTGTCATTCTGCTTTGTAATTATCAATTTTCAGCTTGAAAAAAGCTGCACCAGACGGTCCATTACCTTATTTGGCATATATATTATATAGTGATGGGTATCACATGCGGAGGCCCAAGATTCATTGCACTTACGTGAGGCTGGCTTGGAAGATTCATGACTAAGTTATATAAGTTTAATTTATTTTGGAACATTAATTTAGGGAATTAGGAATATTTTGTAATTTTGGTTATATTGGGTTTATTTTATTTTTAGTTATTTATTTTTGCTTTGCTATAAATATTGGGATGATTGTTAATGGAGGATACTTTTGATATCGAATACAAAATTGAGAGTTCAATTTGTTTTATGGATTCTTCTTTTGTTCGTTTGGTGTGTTGATCTTGCTGGCCGTCTGGCATCATATAGTTTAGCTGCTTCTGCTTGTATGATGACTTTTCTTAATATGATTTTTTAGATTCCAAATTTTACACTATCATGTACACTCGTGATATTCTCTTATTCTCTCATTGCCAGACTTGTGAATAAGGTTCAAGTGATGTTTGCTTGGTAGATAATTGTATGTTCATTATACTTGCTATTTAATGGTTATATCATTTTTGAAAATTTTGATGCTGGAATTATTTGAGAATGCATCTTGTTTCTGTTGTTTTGATCATATCATGCTTAATGTAAAATGAGAATGTAAACACAAATGACAACTTTTTGACTTTCGTGAAAGGAAACTTTTGAAAATGCATAAACAAGTACGCCACCTTGATTTCAATTTAGCATGAACTTCTCTCATCCGTGTTTGTTCTTAAACCATGTGATGTATGGATCCAGTTGATGCATTGCTTCCTTCCTTTTGAATCTTTTGTTGATAGCGTGTACACGTATGCCTGTAGTAAAACCAACCTTTTTGAGGTTGTAATGTGAATGTATTTTAATGGTAATAGTTACTGTATTTACAATGTTTCCTACCTTGTTAAACAGGATACATGGGAATTATTTAGCAGAGATGCCATTCATTGGGACTCGCCATATTTATAGGCGTCAAGGGATGTGTCGTCGGCTTCTAAATGCAATTGAATTGGTATGTTGCAAATCATATTTCAGGTGCATGATACCTTCATTTATGCATTTGTAGGAACACAATTAATTACTAGTGGGTTTCATTTAATTGCTTTTCATAAGATGGTCAACAATAACTACCTATGGGTCTGACTATATGGGAGTTTCATTTGATTACTTGGCAATACATAAAATGTCTATTTATTTCAGTGTTTAATATTCTTATATCTTAATTGATTCAAGTGCTTCATTATATCTGGATGCTGGTGGATCTGCTAAAACATAATAGAGTTTTCAATTGAGTCCAATAATAGTGCACATTTTTTGTTGTACTCTTGAAAGAGGGGCAAATTTAAGCAGTTACTTTGCTATTTATTTTTGAATGGAAATCATTGTAAAAATACCTTGAGATTGCACTACTTTGTGACGGACACAAGAGTTGAATCCCATTGGTTTTCCACAAAAAAATAAAAGTAAAAAATAAAAAATAAATAAAAAAGAAAAAAGAAAAAAGAAAAAAAGAAAAAGAAACAGAAAGATTGAATGTGGTGTAATTTGATATCTTCTAACCATCAATCTAGATGCCTGATGCCACATAAGAGCTCTTTCTAAGTTAAGCTAGGTGCTATTACTAGAAGTAGTTAATATTTAAATCTAGAAGTATACTTATATGTAATTTTTTGGTAAATGCATTTATTTGTAAAGTTAACTAGAGAAACACTATTGAAATATTAATTCTAATAAATAGTTGACTTCAAATAGGGGGATAAATACTTTATTTTGACGCGTTTTGATATATCTTCATTGTTAATTGTTTTGGCAATCATGTAATGATTGTTATTAATTGTTTTGGTAACACCGAATCCTTATGCTTTGATAACCTAGAAGCAAGAAGCATCTTTTTGTAGATGTTCTGTGCAATCTGGTGTTTGGAGAGCACATTGGCACTCAACATTGTTTTGACAAACATTTTTTGTAAAACATTCGTACCAGTTACTTGTAAAATGGAGACCATATAACATTGGCACTGGCCATATTCCGTGCTAGATAATCTTCTGGCTGGCTCACAATTTAGCAGGTTCCCAACTAGGTGTGATGCCATATTACCATGTACCATGTAAAAATCTTTGTAGATAGCCCTGCTTGGGGGTTTGAGGCAGTGAAGTTGAAAAAGTTGATTGACCCTTTTATTTTAGGGTATATTACACTCATCTCCCTTGAGATTTGAAGAAAATACACTTAACCCCACACTTTTGATGTAATTACACTAGCCTCTCTTGAGGTTTTAAATTCACATAACAGTTAGGATTCATGTAGCCGACCCCATTTGATGGGACTTAAGGCTTCGTTTGGTTTGGTTTGGTTTGTTTGTTTCAATGTTAAACGCACCATTTGCATTAGTTTGTCATTTTAGCCATACTAAAAGGAAGGTCAGTGTAATTATGTTAAAAGTGAGATGCTACCTGTATTTTTCCCAAACCTTAGGGGAGTTGAGTGTAATTTACCCTTGTTTTATTTATATAGCCATCCACCATGTCAAGGAATAACTGCCTTACTATTTGGATATTTTTTTTAGCCACATGTTATCTTTCTTTTGGTTGAGAGAAAAGTTTCTCTTGAATATATATTTCTTTGATTTGTCATTTGCCTTCTTTACTACCTCCTCTCATATTGTACCTACACATGCATTCTTTGATGTGGGGAAAACACTTGACTGTACAGCATACAAAAAAATGAATAACGTGTGTTACTATTTTTCTTGTATTTTTAAATTGTTGGTTGCATATTATTGTTTGGTTTAAGTCCACGCCTTTGTCCCTTTGGGTTTACTGATTTCAACGTTGCTATGCCCTTTGATGTTAATGTTTTCTGAAACTGTTGTCAGGCTCTCTGCTCTATTAATGTTGAGAAACTGGTTATACCTGCCATCTCCGAACTTCTGCAAACATGGATTTCTGTTTTCGGTTTCATGCCCCTTGAAGAATTTAACAAGAAAGAAATGAAATATATGAATATGATAGTGTTCCCTGGTGTAAATATGTTACAGAAACCTTTACTAGAGCATCTGTTCACTGAAGGGAACCTCGTTTCCACTGCAGGTATTTCACTGATGCTTATATTCCTTCCACAAACTTTATCTCTAGAATTTTAATTATTTGTCTTTGTATTGTAGCTACAAACTCCACTGCACTCAAAACCGAGCATCAGACGCACGAGGGGGCTAGTGATTCTAATATTGGTTGTTCTACTGGGTCTGATTCCAATGTTTCCCATGACAATGCACATGGAACAAATGTTATAGCTGCTGCTGCTGAGCATCTTTTGGCATTCAACGATGTTTCTGTGAATGGTGCAACTGACATGGCAAGTAAGACAGTGACTTTTGATACCACTGAAAATTGTCTTGCTGATTCAGGTGTGGCCCATGATAATCAAGAGTGTGAAAACAAAAATATTAAGGATTTTGAGGCTTCTGACAAGGGTGCTCTTGAACTTTGTGGACAGCATACTGTGAAGGAGATTAATGAACAAGAAAATGCTTATTCTTGGTCTGATAATGTACCTTCCTATGAGAACTCCAAGTTGAATCACCACAGTACTTGCGAGGGGGAAAGAAAGTCATCTTCTGTTTCCCAGTCTGGGTCTGATGCAAATTGTGAGGGGAAAACTCTTCAGGCTTCAGATGGTGAAGATAAAGAAGGTGCTGATTGCAAGTTAAATGGAGAAATTAATGCTGTTAACCATGCTTGCCATACTCTTGATGAGGGCTCTGTGCACAATTCTACTGAAATTCTTACTCAAACTCATGATGCCAATCATGTACCTATATTAAAAGTTTCTGGTGAGAATTTTACTAGTCAGGATTCAGTGGCTACAAATCTGGAAACAGCACAAAATGTTGCAAATGATTGTGATGCAAATTTCCCTGATGATAGTACCCCTATTTCTTTCTGTCCAGAGGATATTCCTGGAAGTCATGAACCAGACGTAGATGCTTCAGTTCACAATAATTGCTTTCCTTCTGGTGGGAATATCAATAATGCATCTTTTCGGAATTCTCAGACTTCTTATATGAGTGATGGACTCAGCAAGTCCTCTGAGGTTCAATCAGTTGTTGATAATAATGTTACTTGTGTGGTAAAAACATCAGCTTTGAATGATCCTGTTGGGATGGGCCAAACTTCTTGTGTGGTTACAGGGAATGAAATCCACCACCTTAAACAAGAATTTACTGCTGCTCAAACTGACTCCCATTTGGTTGCGGATTCTCTTCTCAACGGTCCTCACATGAGTGCCAACAGTACCAAGCAATCCAAATCTGGTTCTCAGGTTGACCAGACAAGCGTTGCAGTGTGTGAAGTTGAGCCCTTGTATAAATCAAGCTCCAGTTCTGGTCCAACTCTCCTCTGTACCTCTAGCAGTTGCAATGAATCTGCTATTCCTAAGGTGAGGTGATTATACTATTAAAACAGGGCTTCTGATCTCTCAGTCTATCCCTTTAAACAAACAGCCATTGGCCATGTTATAAAGCTGATTTATTTTTGTTAAATTGGGTGGACACACTGGAATAGCACAAATTTTAAAAAAATAAAAATAGAAGAAAAGAGGATTTTTTGGCATCATGACCAAGTATCCATAGTTCAAATTTTCTAGAATTTTTGTTAATAGAGTTGATTCGTGCTCTCTAAAAGTGATATCTTGGTTTCTTTCTGTTTTCTTGATCTACATCACAGCGTTTAGTTTGACAGGCTTCTAAAATGCTTAAATGCTTCCGCTTCTTTTTTTGTTTGATTGATCAACTCAACTTAATGTGTTGCAGGTAGCATCACGTAGGATGTTGAGGAGTGGTAAGCTATGCTAATTTCATCTAGCTTGATGCATGGACCTCCAGGGTTGAAAAGCATGTTTGTCGTAAAGATACAATTATTTCTGTTTGAGGCCATGCTCAAAGGGGAATCTGCCTTGTTTGGGGATAGGAACTATGTAAATAATGAATTTGTGTGAGTATTTTGTAGTGCAGTTCGTAGAAGAATATTAAGAAAAGAAAGATTTAAGTTTCAACAATCTAACTAATAGATTGTTCCTTTCTGTGACAAATGTGAATATTTTAACTTGAAAGGCAACGGAGATAATTTCTTTTTGAGGTATGTCTTGCATTTTTCTGTAATTGTCTTTATCAACTTTATTAATTTAATTTAATTTTTTATTGATTTTCTTTTACTATATGCTCTGTGACTTGTGTTGTATTCCACGACTTTGATTCTTGAAAATTTGATCTTGAATACTTTTGTTTGGTGATAAAAGCATCTTTTGGCATTCAACTACTTATATATATATATGCAAAGTTACTGGTATTTTATGTCTTGCTCATTTATTTGCTCCATTTTTTTTCTCCCTCCCTTTATATTCTCTTCAGCTTGAATCGATTTTTGCCCCTTGCTGCTGTAGCTTTATACCATATGATTTTGTGATCTTATACTATTTTTGTGTCGTCTAGGGATGGCCATGGGATGGGTTTGTAATATAAATCTGGTGGGGGAAGCAAAACCCGACCCCGTCCCACTTTCTCATTGGGCTGGTAACAATCCCTGTGGGGTTGGGGAAAATTACCATCCCTAGTCTTGTCCTTGGTTGGCGTGACTCAGTCATGAATGAAATCATTTCTTATTTTATATTTTCATGCCTTTAATAGCATGTTCTTAAACCAAAAACATATTAGATGCAGAGTTTTACTGTGGGTAAAATTCCTTATTGGTTGTATAATTCTGTGAATGCATGCTCTGACCTTTCAGTTTCTGTTTCAGCTATAGATGGGCTTTATTTATTTTATTTTACATGTCACAAATTGACTAGCAAAATGTAGTCATAACCAGAGTGGTATGTGAAGGGGAAAAAAATGGGAAAATTGTAATTTGTTGACGTCCCCAAACTAATATACTATCTAGGTTTTTCAGAGGAATATGGACCTTAAGGATCAAACTCTCATGATTCAATGTTCATATTTCTGCATTTTATTACTTTTTGGGTATTTTTGTGCTAGTTCTTTTACATAAGCTTGTTCTTGCACTTGTCTCATTTGCTGATGTTTGCTATCTTTATCTTTGTGCTGTAGGAATATCGCGTCTCTGATTCCAGTGTCATGTACAAATTCACAGGAGCATTTTTGCAGTACATATATATAGGGTGATCGAATCTCTTGACTTGGGAAGCCGGTGCATCATTTCAAGGGGGTTAAAGCTGGAGCTAGTGATAATGTTAGGGTTTTGTAATTTCTTTATCTTTGTGCTGTTGACGATGTTTCAGACTTCGCTATAAAATTTTAATGATGTAGATCTTCAATAATTATAACTTAATAGTTTTATCCTGCTCTGTGCTCATTGTAAATGGTACCAACAATTGTTTTGCTCAATTTTAGGTTATTTCCCTCTTTATATATAGGGTATCTGGGAACGTTTGGAATATTGATTTTTCTTTGTTCTGTCAATTTTCTTGTGGTCCAAATGGTATCAACCTGTAACTCAAAAACATGGAGAGTCACGTTATATGCACCTTGTATGTATTTTTTTGAGTAATGTTAAGTAGTTTGGTGGGAAATGTTATGTAATCTTTTGGTAGGGATATAACAATTTGTGATTACAAAATGAAGTTACATATTTTGGGTTAATGTTATGCATTTTTTATCAAAACATTTTTGAACTACAAAATTCATAATATTATTACAAAAAATGTATTACTTTATTTCTGAATCACAAATTATTAAAATTTTATCAAAAAATTATGTCATATAATTACAAAAATACGTAATAATTCCGACCCAAATATGGGAATAACAAAACATGCACCTTTTTAATTGAAATGTTTTTGGGTAGATCAAAAACGTCACATATCTTTTGAGGATGGGTATGCGAATCATTGACTGGATACGTTTCTTGATCTATTACATTCTTGAAATTTGTTAAAAATATAGATTATGTCTTTATGTTTAAGAAGTTACATTGCACCTTGAGGTTTTTAATCACGTTCCGCTCTTTTTGTTTTTTGGTTTTTTTTTTTATACTTTTCTTTGTTTTTCTTCTTCTTTTCTTCTTGTGAAAAAGAAAAAGAAAGAAAGACTCTGCTTATTTTAAGTTTAAACTGTTTGGAACTACGAAACTCCCTATGGTCCTGTTTTGATCATCAAAATTATACATTTTATAGAGTCATTCATGCACATCACTAGTGAAAAAATATAAGTCAATTTAATAATCATAATTTTTTTACGTTTGTTTCGAAAAAAATAGATGACCAATATATTTTCAAAATTTTTTTTTAAAGCTAACATGACAAACTAAAAAGATGCGATTATTATATCGACTTAAATTTTTATACACATAAAATAAAAATCTTATAAAATAAATAATTCAAACTATTTAAATAGTATCCGTGGTAGACGGGTGGTCCAATTTCTTCAAAGTTTAAGTGCTTTTTTGGCATGTGCTAAAATAACATGTTATTTTAGTACATTATCTTATTTGAGTCACAATCATCTTATTTGGGTCATATCACCTTTCTATCATATCACTTCAAACCCATTCTATATTTCACGTTTTTTTGTAAAAAGTCAAAAAGTATACTAATCAAGTACTTCCCAAACAACCTTATATGAGAGGGTTCAATAATGTGGTCTAAAAATTCGAAAATTTTCGAAGATCTTTGAAGAAAACTTGAATTTTCTAAAAATGATGAGAGATTTAGATTCTTCAATGGTTGCAACTAAAAACATAATAACAAAGAGATGATGGAGATAAGAGATTGGATGAAGAAGAATGCAAAGTAGTTAGAGAGAGAATAATGACAAGGCTCTCTCATAGACCTCCCACTTTTACTCTCAAGGTAGATAATGGAGAAAGAAAATTAGTTCTTTCCCAAGAGTTGTCTCTCCAAAATCCATCCCTTATAAAGCTATGAGTGAATGTTATTTATAAACACCTTATGATGTAAGATAAAGCCCATGTGCAAGGCACATGAGAAATATTTTTTCTAACCACTTTGTCTAATGAGGTGACCTCCTCGAGAATGCGAAAAACCCCGAAGAGGAGATCAACTTCTCGGCGAACTCTTCTTCTTAGCCACACCTAACCAATGATCCCAAAGGGTCAGAAGTAATCTTGGAGGACGTCTTGCCATAGAAGGGGCAGGGGTAGTTCAAGAGAATGCCATGCTGCAAATATTGTCGAGTCTTGGGGACCTCCTAGATCGTGCCACCTCGATTCAAGTATAGACTAGTTTAACCGAAGAGTGAATGTATCTCCACTCATCGTCCTCGGGACCAGATCTTTTGTTCAGACTCCAACACGCCCATGGTTCTGGTGCATAGATTCCGGAAAGTTTCGAGCCTGCAAGTGTTCTAGGACTTATTAATGGAATGGCTTCTAGATTGCATCTGAATCTGTTCGAAGCCAAGCGCGTCGGATCTCTAGGTTCGTAGATCCGAACCCTTTCGAGTTCGAGCTCAAATAGGTCTCTAGGTTCGTAGTTCCAAACCCTTTCAAGACTATGCAAATACCTCAAAGAATGGATCTCCTCCAAGGGTTTCATTTCTTCTGAAAATAACAATTAACTTCCTTGAACACCTGTATGATTTAGATCTCCTCAAATGGGCTCGTTGGGTATTCTTTAGAGATATATGCTTGAAATGTATCCTCCAAATTTATTGACTTTCTTATGAGTCCGTTCAATATAATTCACTTGGTTTATTTGGCAAAAATTTCTTCAAACTTATCAATTTTTAGAGTTTTTGATTAGGTTTTGATTTGGGCCCAATTAATTTGTGGGTTCAAGTTAATTTTTTTACAAACTTAAGTTACCAAAAAAAAAAAAAAAAATCTTTTTCGAAATGACGAGTTAGATGTTGACACGTAAGAGGTGTGTGAACTGAGTCACATAACGAAATTGACAAATTTCCAATTTTGCCCCACCGCTTGTATATATATAGCCTCATTTTGCAAAATCGGTATTCTAGGGTTAGGGTTTTGGTGCTTTCTCTATATAGTCTGTTCAGCCCGCAGCAGCGAGTTGAAGAACTTCAGCAGAGCTCGATCTGAAACCCTAGCCATGGTTTTGTCTCTCTTTTCTCTCTATATATGTATCTAATGAATTTTGCAATTATAAAGTCTATGTTTTGAATTAATGTTCGTGTATGTTGTTGTTTGATCTTGTTCGCAGTCGCTTGTTGCAAATGAAGAGTTTCAGCACATTCTTCGTGTGCAGAACACGAACGTCGATGGAAAACAGAAGATCATGTTTGCAATGACCTCTATCAAAGGTATCGGTCGTCGTTTTGCCAACATCGTCTGCAAGAAAGCCGATGTCGACATGAACAAGAGGTTTTTCTACTATTCGCTATATCTACGATTCAATCTTTGATTTTATGATATTCTTGTTTGGGGTTGTTTTGTTTTGTTTTGTTTCTTGATGACAAAAATTGCTGACTTGTTGATACTCAAATTTGTCTCTTGAGTTTTTGCCTTTTGCGATTAGGACTAAAGATTGGTCTTTGAATGCAAGTAGATGAAAATGAATGATTTATAAAATGTATTGACAGTCTATTTGGTATGAGAGGTGAGATAAAGAAAAAGAAACCACTTTGTTTGGTTCTGGTTTTCAGAAAACAGTTTCAACAATTTGTTTTTTTATTTTCGTATTTAATGGTTTCAATGATTTTTTTAATATTTTAAGTATTTTTTTTTTAATTTTTAGACACACCTAACATAAATTCACTTAAAAATATGATATTTGTGAAAAAAATCTTTAAAAAATACACTAAATACCAAAAAATACAAAAATGTATTTATTAATTTTTAAAAATATTTTTTCACAAATATTTTACTATTTAGATGACCTAAGGTACATTTAAATAAGTAAAAAAATGACTTAAAATTTTAAAAATATTCACTAAAAACAAAAAAATTCAAAAAACAACTAACTCAATTTTCAAAAAAATGAATTTAGAAAACTAAAATCAAACACGTTGAGGAAGAAAAATATTTGGATGATTGGATGAGTAAGAAAGCAAAGCCCCTTAGATTTCTTTGTGTTCCTCTCTATTTTAATAGGCAATCTTGATATTTTAAATTTTTTTTAACCAATCGGTCTCACCCAATCTTGACCAGTTTTGGTGATAAATGAAATAGGCCAAGTAAGGGAGTTCTCTTTCCCATCATTTCTTAGCTAATTGATAAACTGAACACGAGAAAGAATTATCTTTCTCATTATTTTTATCATTTCTCACCAAATCACTGCACACAGACTGTTAGATCCAGTCATAAGGAACTAAAATTGCTAATTATAAATTTCGTTGATGTTGTTGGTTTGGATGGACATTTCATCCTTGTTCTTGTTTTGCTTTTACGTCTAACACATATGCATGATTGGAAAACTTATTTTTTGACCTCAATTATATAAAAGTCATGGCATACAGCAGATTAAATAGGGTCTTTTGAATTTAATGTACAGGGCAGAAGTCCTTTTTTTTTTTTAGCCTGAGCAAGCTTTACATCACTTTCAATGTCAATTAAAAAAATAGATTGTATGGTTTTTTACTTATCTGCACCATACACAATGTAGATGTTTTAATGTTGGCTTTCTAGCTTTTTGGAGATGGAATTGACTCATATCTACTTGGTTGTTTGTTTCCCAAAAGTTTTTTTTGATATAATGTTAATACTGTGGATTTGTGTGAGAAAAACAAGCTGTTTGGGTCTTTTTCTTTATCTCTTATCTGGTCCGGCATGATTGTCTAATTTTTTATGGAATGAAACCTTGTAGGGCTGGTGAGCTTACAAATCAGGAGCTGGATAACCTGATGACAATTGTTGCAAATCCTCGCCAGTTCAAAATTCCAGGATGGAGGGAAATGATCCTAATGATTGAATACATTTTGCCTAGCATTGAAGGCTAGCTACATGTAGCTAGTGAAAATGAGTTGAGCCAAAGTGCCTAATCATATGCCTAGTGCATTGGAATTGAAAAAAGTGAATCATACTAGGTATTTTAACTAACAAGTATTATATGCCTAGTGCATTGGAGATGCTCTAATACTGTGGATGTGTGTGAGAAAAACAAGCTGTTTGGGTCTTTTTCTTTATCTCTTATCTGGTCCGGCATGATTGTCTAATTTTTTATTGAATGAAACCTTGTAGGGCTGGTGAGCTTACAAATCAGGAGCTGGATAACCTGATGACAATTGTTGCAAATCCTCGCCAGTTCAAAATTCCAGACTGGTTTCTGAACAGGAAGAAAGACTACAAGGATGGGAAGTTCTCTCAGGTGACATCCAATGCACTGGACATGAAGCTGAGGGACGACTTGGAGCGATTGAAGAAGATCAGGTGTGCCTTCATTGCTTCTTTTTGCTTGATTGAACAAGTGTTCCTGAATTTTTTTTTTGTTTTTGCTTGCTTGAGCTCTTAATTGCTTATTATTTTTTTTTTTAATACTTTTGTACAGGAACCATCGTGGTCTCCGTCACTACTGGGGTCTTAGGGTGCGTGGGCAGCATACCAAGACCACTGGCCGCAGGGGAAAGACTGTTGGTGTTTCGAAGAAGAGATGATCTGGTTCTAGGTTTTCTTTTTTTTTTTCTTGCCATGAGTTTTTTGTTCGATTTTAGACTTTCCTTCACATAGTACTATTTAAGAATTTTTGGCATTGAGTGGATTGTTTTGCTTGTAGCTTTCGCACTGTTTTGGATGTTCGCTGTGACTTGCCTATATCTTGTACCCCCCCTAAATGATCATGGTCTATGTGGCTTGTGTGGTAGTCTTCTAGTTTCTAAAGAGTTTATTATTAATACTAGCGGTGGGTGCAGACGCATTACATTTGCAATTTTTACACCTATTGTTTTTAGAGATTTGATCAATGAAATGTGATCAATTTTATTTTATTTTCTGAAATAGTCAACAATGTGGGCATTTTGGGAAAAAAAAAGCATTGCAAAGCTTCAAAATCTTTTGAATATTGCCCTTCATGGGCTTGGTGTTTGGACTTACTAGGGGCTTGAAATCAGTTATTCATTTGTTGTTTACGTAGTATGGTGAATCTGATAACATTTTTTAAGGAATTATTTTCTTATGCAACAACCATGCACTGTGTTGGATTATGCATTGGTGTTTGTTGATTTGAGTGGTATACTGGTCCCTGATAAAGCCGTAAAACATATTATGCCTACGTTTGGGAAGAAAATTTTGGGGTTTTTTTGGCTATTTTAGCTACAAAAGACAAAATAGGTTATTTTAGTCACAAAAAATAAAACATCATATCCAACCCATAATCATTACACTCTTCTCTCACAAAAAAAAGTCAAAAAGTCAAAAGTCCTTTCCAAACCAAGCTTTTTAGCCCAGGCTAAAATAGCTAAAAAAGTCAAAAAGTCAAAAAGTTAACCCACTTCCTAAACGTAGGCTATAGGTTGTAACTGAACATATTGTAAATTATGACTTTAATTAGTGGAAGTTAATTTGTTTGGTGTAATTGTTAGATTATAAACTTAAATTGTTGATTTGTGTTTGGTAAATAAATTGTGAAATAGTTTTTTGATATATAAATGTCCTTTTTACTGTTGTTAGCTGTAAATTAAATTGATGTTTATTTTTTGTTACTAATATCTCGTTTGGGAATAGATTATTTTAGTAATTTTTTAATTTTTAACAGAAAGATGTGTAAAAAAATAAAGAGTTATGTGATAACGTATAATAATTTTTTGATTAAAATGTATAGTTAACAAACGAGGCCTAATAAGCAGATTACGAGATTATTTCAACGTGCTAATATAATAAAATTATTTTTTGATAATAGAAATGATATAACTATTAGGGAAACGATATGGTTTACACCCTTATAATTAAAAAGAAAAATGACATAATTTTAATATTTTGAGTTATACCTGAAAAAAAGTAAAAATATCATAATTAAACATAATATGAGACATAAATAAATGACTCATGAGTCATAATTAAAATAATATTATAATTAGTGAAAAAATTGATCATAATAAAAGAAAGTGAAATAATTAGAAGTAAATATGACATACTCTTTTAAAAGGATGTATATTAGAATTTCTTTAAATATTATGGACTACATTCTGATGATTACTTGTTTGACCCCATACCCACAATTTCTTTCAAGTCAAGCGAAGAGAGAGAGAGAGAGAGAGCAGAGAGACATACCAGTAGCGGAGAGATGAGTTCTTCGCTGCTGCTGGAAAGGGCAGGGGTTCACGGCATAAGCAGTGAATCAGAAGTGGCTAATTAGCTGATTAATCAGATTTTTTGTACACAAACAAAGCTGTTATAAGCTTAAGTTTTGAATAATTGGTAACAAACAGTCTACTTTAACTTTCTAAAAGCTAAAATCTATAATTTGGGTGAAAAAAAATTCTCACCAAACACCCCCATTGGTGACTATTTATATTTTGATGATTTGGGAATTATGCTAAGTTGCCTACTGTGTTTGGTTTTATCTACAAAACGCAACACTACTCAATAAATAGCTAACGATAACCAACAATGATTCATCCCACTAATTGATCACTAATGATGTAGAAATTTTAAAAAAAAAAAAGAAAAAAAAACTTTAAGACCAAAACATCACATCAATAAGTGAGACCCACCAATTAGTGCTCTCCTAGTGCTCTTAAATGAGTAATGATTCATCCCCCATTTTTCCCCCACCCCCTTTGACCCCCTCTCTCTCTCATTGGTCACTTTTTCTTTTTCTTTTTCTTTTTTTTCCTGCTCCACCAATCACCCCCTGCCACGTGGCAAAGGGGGGTGAGGGGGTGACCCCCAAAAGGGGGTCCTAAGCATTATTCCTCTTAAATTAGTGGTCTTAAACATTTTTGTTTCAGAAAGGCTTTGCTGATTAGGTTTTAGTCTTTTGGGTGTAGGTTTTTCTTTCTAAATTACTATTTAAACTTGGTTTTGGTTAGTGACCATTTTTAAAACTTTGTCGTTCCTTGTATTCCTTCATCTAGATATTGAAGTTGTTAAGTAATGGTGAAGCTAGAAATTTAAAGTAAAGGAGCATACATTAATTATAATATTAAATTTGTTTCTTCTTATAACAAGTAGTAATGAGATATTATTAAATTTATATACTTTTTAAATTTATTTTTTGTCAATCGGTAAGAGATAATATTACAATTATCATGAGATTTACATCAACGTGATTTATAAATCCATAATCAACAATTAAATTCTATTAACCCAACAATAGGAACAGACAAATAACTAAATTTACAATTAATAAATTCAATACTATCAACTCAACTAATAAAAAGAAATAACTAATAACTAACTAAACAAATTCGATAAAAATAAATTATTAATTGATTCAATTCTTACTTTGACCTGTTAGCTAAGAGTGTACAAAAAATGAGAAAGAGAATATAATAGAACATTTTTAAAATTTTAAAAATATTAAGAATTTTACATGATTTATTACAATTTTATTAGGGATAAATAATATATAATCTTTATATATTAGAGGTAGTAGTCTAATTATCAATAACTTTAGGGGGCATGTGACTTCCCTGGTTCTTAGCTGGCTCCACCACTGGTGTTGAGCCACTGATAAAGTATATGATATGACATTCAAATATGTTTCGAGAGTTATTGATAGGGATGGCAATGGGGTGAATATTAATTTTTCATCCCCATTCTTCTATAATAAATTTTTTCTATTCCCCATTCTTCATTTTTCATGGGTACCATCCTCTCTATTTTTTAATGGGTATGGATTTTTTCCCACCCACTTTAATCCCCATTTTTATTTTTTTATTTAATGTTAACAACCACTTTTTTTTTTTTTTTTTTTATTTTTTAAAGTTCACAAGATTCAGAATAAAAACTAAATATACCTTCAATCTTTTTTCTTTCTTTTTTAATATATTTGATGTTAACAAATTTTTTTTTTTAAAGGTTCACAACAAAAGTTAAATATAACTTCAATCTTTTTTCTTTCTTTTTTAATATATTTAATGTTAACAACCTTCTCTATTTTTTTTCTTTTTTTTAATAAAGGTTTTAGCTAAATATACCTTCAATCTTTTTTCTTTCTTTTTTAATATATTTAATGTTAACAACTTATTTATTTATTATTTTTTTTAAGGTTCACAACAAAAGCTAAATATACATTCAATCTTATTTTATTTTATTTGGTTCAACAACAAAATCAAATACACATTAATTAATTAATTAAAAAGTTTGTTTTATAATAATCAAATATATAATTTTGAGACAATCAAATAAGTTTTAGTAATTGAAAAAAAAATGTGAAATAACGTGGAAGATTAAAAAAAATTACAACCATCTCTCTCTCTCTCACTCTCACTCTCACTTTCTCCTCTACATGTTATAAGAACTTGATTACAATGTTATAAGAGCCTCTTTGAAGAAATAAAATGTGAAAGAACCTGTTTTAAGAAAGTGTTATAAGACCCATATTAAATTGCATCAGCGCATAAATAAGGAATTGTTTGTTGATCTCTTAGCCACGGATATTTTAGACATTAAACCATCTTTCTCTTAGCAAATTTGAACCATTCATTTTAATTTATCCAAAATCTAATTATACATTTAACAAATCTGAACCACTCATTTTAAGATATCTATACCGTACCACACCCAATCCATCCTCCGTCTTCTTCCTTTAGTCCCCCATGAAGTTTGTTGTTTGTTACTTTTAAAAAACAAAAAATATTTTTTCAATTAAATTTTTACTAATTTCACAACACCATCACCACTATTCTCACCTTCACTAGAAAAAAGATTGAATGTATATTTAGCTTTGGTTGTGAATCTTAAAATTTTTTTAAAAAAATGGCTGTGAACCTTAAAAATAAAAAAATAATAATAAAAAAAAAAATTAGATGTATATTTAGCTTTGGTTGTGGATCTTTAAAAAAAAAAAAAAAAAATTGGTTGTGAACCTGAAAAATAAATAAATAAATAAAAGAAAAAAGATTGAATGTATATTTAGCTTTGGTTGTGAATCTTAAAATTTTTTTAAAAAAATGGCTGTGAACCTTAAAAATAAAAAAATAATAATAAAAAAAAAAATTAGATGTATATTTAGCTTTGGTTGTGGATCTTTAAAAAAAAAAAAAAAAAATTGGTTGTGAACCTGAAAAATAAATAAATAAATAAAAGAAAAAAGATTGAATGTATATTTAGCTTTGGTTGTGAATCTTAAAATTTTTTTAAAAAAATGGCTGTGAACCTTAAAAATAAAAAAATAATAATAAAAAAAAAAATTAGATGTATATTTAGCTTTGGTTGTGGATCTTTAAAAAAAAAAAAAAAAAATTGGTTGTGAACCTGAAAAATAAATAAATAAATAAAAGAAAAAAGATTGAATGTATATTTAGCTTTGGTTGTGAATCTTAAAATTTTTTTAAAAAAATGGCTGTGAACCTTAAAAATAAAAAAATAATAATAAAAAAAAAAATTAGATGTATATTTAGCTTTGGTTGTGGATCTTTAAAAAAAAAAAAAAAAAATTGGTTGTGAACCTGAAAAATAAATAAATAAATAAAAGAAAAAAGATTGAATGTATATTTAGCTTTGGTTGTGAATCTTAAAATTTTTTTAAAAAAATGGCTGTGAACCTTAAAAATAAAAAAATAATAATAAAAAAAAAAATTAGATGTATATTTAGCTTTGGTTGTGGATCTTTAAAAAAAAAAAAAAAAAATTGGTTGTGAACCTGAAAAATAAATAAATAAATAAAAGAAAAAAGATTGAATGTATATTTAGTTTTGGTTGTGAATCTTAAAAAAAAAAAAAACATATGGGGAAATTAGTGGGTACCCATCCCCAACTCATCCCCTATGGAT